TCTTCTGTACAGTCAGTGATAACAGTTCATTATCAGTCCCATGAATATTGGTCTTTGCTTCATTCCAGGTTAGTACAAGTGTTATTTGGTTAAATAAAGCTAAGCAAGAGAATAGTTCCGAACACCAAGCCATCATCAGTCGCCTGTACAAGTTCTACAATAGAAATGCCTCAAGCGTTCGCACAATTTTAGTGGCAAATTGCCTCATACCCGACACGCCCAAAGAATCTTCCGAAGCTCCTGAGAGAAGTGAAAACAAGCCGCAGAGAGTGCCAGAGGTATGTTTCATCATATTTTAATCTATTGGTCACAGGAGGGTACATTTGCGCATGCTCAGTCTACCCTTTTCCTTGATTTTCCCGTTTATTATCATCATAATCGTCGCCTTTAGTATTCTTAATATGACATTGTAATAATCATAATATCAATGATAATGATAATAACAGTAACAGTGATAATATGCATAGAAAATAAACACCTTTTCCCCCCAAATTAAAAGAATGAAGTAGTCGGGTTAGATCAGGCTATCCTACTAATTGATTCCCTGTGCGGTTAAGCAGTTTTGGAGACGTTTCTGTTTAATCAAGATTCGCAAAAGTAAAATTACAGTGGACTATGCATGTACTCACAATGACTGGTTCATTGTCATGGTTTTTAAATTGTTTTTGAGGTGCTTCGTTCATGACAAGAATTTCAAGGTAATTGTCATAATGTCTGTTTCCAAATGTATTCAAAACTACCCATGGATAATTGTAGTTTCCTCATGAGAGAAAAAACAAAACAAGAAAAAGGCTTATTGTTCAGAATAAGAACGTTCCTTGGTTGTGGTCTGTTATAAGAGAAGGACAATGTGTCTGTATGTATGTGTATGTTCAAATATACATAGATAGAGAGACAGATATTTATGTATACATAGATATAGGGATATAGATATAGACATATAAATACTTTTGGCACAATTAAAGTTGGAGCCTTCGTGGTCAAAAGACACATACATTACAAGTCAGACAATGTTGTGTGTGTGTGTGTGTGTGTGTGTGTGTGTGTGTGTGTGTGTGTATGTGTGTGTGTGTGTCTCCTAACAAAGATGATAAAATGAAAAAGAGTGCAGTCTGTAAAGCTTGAGAAAAAGTTTTCTTCATACCTTTGTATCTGTTAGTTTTTTTTAACCTAAAATAGGTGCTACTTTCCAAACTTTCCCCTCGCAGATATCTTTCTGAATAGAGATATATATATTTCTCTATACAGATGCAGGTACAAGATCCATTTTTGAGATGGACTAATAAATCTATGCATTCTTCATGTATTGCACTCTTATTCTTGCATTTGCAGGTTATGGAGAGAGGCAACCCACCTTCTCACCGGGAGCTGAGTGTTCACCAGGTATCCATAACAGAGGAACAGAGCCACAGGCCTTCTAATTCACAGAGACCAGTCTATACGAGTCCTATCACTTACACCAAGGATTACAGAGAGTCTGAAACGGTGATTGTGAGTGTGTATTGCTTATTAACCTTCTAAGTTTTTCCCTATTCTTCTTGTTTTCTTTGTCTTATTTTTCACTTTTTCTTGTCTTCTTTTTCTTCTTCATCTTTATTATGTTATGCTGTTTTGTTTTGTTTTCTAGCTTTTCTTCTTTTTCTTCCTCTTTTTCTCTTTTTTTTTCCTTCTTTTTTCTTTTCTTCTTCCTCATCAGCATCAAATTCATCTGGATCATCTTATTTTCTTCTTTATATTTTTCTTGTTTTTCTTCTTCATCTTGTCCTTCTTTCTTGTCATAGATTTGCTTGTGACGTTAATTTCAGTCGTGTATGTTGCATTATTTTTAGCTTCTCTTTAATGTTGCTAATTTTGACAAAAGTTACTTACAGCAGATTTATTCTTAAAAACATTTTAGAGAGGAAAATGCAAAATCATGTTGTATGATATTCTTACAATGGTTCTTTGCAAGGGAGAATTCTATTGAAGATAAATGTTATTAAGAGTTATAGTCTGTAATTTTCTGAAAAGCTGATAACAAGACTATTAGCAAAGTAACTACGTTAACAAATAAATTTCTTGATGTCATTTTTTAGGATGCTTTCTCTGTTGAACGTTTTTTTAACATATGTATCTGGATAAGGAAACATATAGGTAGGACAGAATTTTGTTTCAGTATTTTTAGTCTAACAATTTCCAGCATTTTCTCAACCCCTTTGATGAGTCCATCCTCCCAAATTTACCCCATCAACCTGTCTATCTGTCCTGTTCCAATTTACTTTGTCAGCTATTTCACCCATCCTAGTTTATCCCCTCTGCCACTCCATCTGGCCTTTCCCAGTTTACCCTGTCAGCCAGTTCATCTATCCTAATGTACCCCTTTAGTCAGTTCATCTATCCCAATTTACTCTCATCAGCCAGTTCATCTCTCCTGTCCCAGTTCACCCTTTTTGCTTGCTCACCCACCCCAATTTACCTTTTCAGTTATTTCCTCTGTCCTGTCCCAATTTTACCTTATCAACCAGTTCACTTATCCCAAGCCACTGTATCCACCTTGTCCCAGTTTACTCCTTTATGTGATACTGAAAAAAACACAAAATTTAATATCATGATAACATCCCTGCTACTACTACCCCCCCCCCCCAACTGAGTTTACCTCAGATTGGTAAATGCTTTTCTAGTCTATACTTACAACTGTGCAAACCGGCTTACTGTTATAGTAAAAGCAGTTACTATAAAGGGACATAATGCACAGGTAGATTGACTGTATTTTTGAGCCATAACAATTAGCAATAATTCTGTGTTGCAGGGACACCACATAGCAAGCAGTAGCAGTAACCCATCAGTATCCTTACAGCCGTCTAATTCAACAGAATCTCTAGGTGATGTGAGTGTCCTATACATGGAAAAAAACAAGGGTACAGTGACAAAGTCATGGTGTCAGTCTGTATGATAAAAGCTGTCATGAGTGCATAACAATGTTTCAGCCACTGAGAGCGTACAAGAGACGGGAATGCTTCATTGGACAACCAGATTGGACACTCACTTCAAGACATATGCATCATCTTTCCATTTTTAGAGAGGATTTTCACATATTCCTCAGATGTAAAGCTGAATTCCTTAAGTTGAACTTTGTGGTTGTAGAAAAACTGCTTGTGAAGATTCCCAGTCTAAGTCTCTCACTCTTCTGCTAGTCCTCTCCCTGTCTTCCCCCTTTTATACCTTCCCTCTTTCCTACCTTTTGTCTTCCTGCTCATTATAATTTGGTTTTCCCCCCCTTTACCCTTCCTTCTCAATCTCTTTTTACAGTTCTTCTCAAGTCATGTATCATATTCCATTTATTTCACAAACAAACCCTCTGTTTACACTACGCAGGAGGACATGGAAGTGGAGCGACCCAAAAATACCGAAAGCGAAGAGGACGGAATGCTCGAATGGGCAGAAGACGGGGAGTTCTCGCCGCCAATGTCTTTAGCGGAGGACAGGGACAAATTTCTGATCTTCACCACTGGATCTAAAACTTATTCGCCACATCAGATAGGTACGTGCATTTAGGAGCCCCCAAATGATGCTTGATATGAAAGATTTTTTTTTTATTATTATTAAATGATATAACTGCATAGGTGACTTGGTTAATGATTTTGCTACTAAGGAAGCCTGATTGATGATTAAGTAAACCCAAGACATAAGAGATGTGTCTGTCTGTCTGTCTTATTGTATTAGTATTTAGTGAATGAAGAGAATGAGAAATTTAATACTTAATTTCTTATCTTTCTTTCTTCCTCAGGTTTCAAGAGGATAAAAAAGTTTTCAATACCCACCATTTTGGACATTGGGCCTGGGCTGCGGGAAAGGATACAAGCACGGGAACTGGAGAGGGAACTCAGAAATTTAGGGCTTTTCCAAGAACCAAACTGGTAATTTATTTATATATGTGTGTGTGTGTGTGTGTGTGTGTGTGTGTGTGTGTGTGTGTGTGTGTGTGTGTGTGTGTGTGTGTGTGTGTGTGCAGTGGCAGATTTAGGGGGGGGGGGCAACTGGGGGCAGTTGCCCCCCCCTCACTGCTCTGTAACTGTTTTGGCACCCCCTGTTGGAAGTGTGGCGCCCCTTTTCTATGAAATGACATTTGATATACTGACAGAGGAACCTCATGTGTGTGTGTGTGTATGTATGTATGTAGGTATGTATATATATATGTATATGTATATATGTATATATGTATATATGTATATATGTATGTATGTATGTATGTATGTATGTATGTATGTATGTATGTATGTATATATGTATATATATATATATATATATATATATATATATATATATATATATATATATATATATATATATATATATATATATATATATATATATATATATATATATATATATATATATATATATATATATATATATATATATATATACATATATATATATATATATATATATATATATATATATATATATATATATATATATTATATATATATATGTGTGTGTGTATAAATGTGTATATATATGTGCATATATATGTATATGTATATATATGTATATGTATATGTATATGTGTATATATATATGTATATGTGTATATATATATATATATATATATATATATATATATATATATATATATATATATATATATATATATATATATATATATATATATATATATATACATATACATATATATACATATATATATATATATATATATATATATATATATATATATATATATATATATATATATATATATATATTTATTTATTTATATTTATATTTATATTTATATTTATTTATATGTATATACTTTTTTTTTTTCCATTATCCTTTAATATATGTCATTTGTTCTCCCTGGCAATTTTTCTATTTTGTCTTCTTCTCCCATTTTTTTTTTTACATCATTGATATGTTACATATATTTTTTTTTACTTTTTTCTTTTTATCACAAGGAACTTTTCACTCCAGGCTAGACTACGAATCTGTGGCCGACAAATTTGACACCATCGATCACCTGATTGACTTGAATGGACACATTATTGGCATGGGCCTCTCGCCAGACCACAGGTAAGTTGTCATGCTCCTCATGGCATACGTTTTTTGAGCAGATCATGCTCTGTCTTGATAGTTTTGAAGGTAAAGATTTATTGTTTAAGTTGTCTTAGTTTTATGATCTTTTCTTAATAGCTTCATGTGAGCCTTTGTTGTTTTTATGTATCATGATGTAGACTTAATTGCTGTGAGGGATTATTTTTTCATTTAAGTTGGTTGGGTTTCACTTTGCCGGTTTTAATCTCAGCTTGGTGAATGCAGCTGATCAGCAACCCATTTATGCTGATGCAGGCTGATCTAAAATAGATTAGAGGGAACAGTGAAAGACAAGTGAAATTCAGATAATAAGATCCAAGGGATTTTTTTTAATTTCTTTTCTTCTTCTGTCATATTTTGCTGGAAGTACCAATAATTCTTTAATTCAGATGTTTAGATGATAATATTGATATCCCAAGCCATTGACAGCAGGGAGCCTGGATACAGAGCAGCAGACAGGACATTCATTTTGTTTTCCTTTCCAGTTTTTTATTTAGCTTGCAATACATTCATCTTCAGCTGGGGAAATTTCCTACAGTGTATGAATAGCAATATATTAAATAAGATTGATAATACATTGCAGGGGAAAAAAGTATGATTTATTCCAACCCAACATTTATTTTTTCCTTGGTATACTCTCCAGTATTATTTTTGACACATTGAATTATGCAAAGACTCAGAGTGAAATGCCTGTGACCTCTAGTGATATCATAACCATAGTGTACATACTCTGTGGTCTAATTTCATGGAGTGTAAATAATGTGACAAATTGTGTACTATTTAATTTTTGATACAAGTGAAAAACTCCCACGTAATTGATATTGAGTTATATGCAGTTAAGATTATGAACTCTTTTGCTCACACAAACTCTTCAAAGTGATATGGTCTGTTCACATGATACCGTCAGAATCCACGGCATAAAATCTGCACCCTCATAGTGCACACCCCCAGGATTTATTTTGGGTTATGCAACAGCACCTTTTTTAATGGAGCTTTGTTGTGTGTGTGTGAATAGAGTGAAATCCATCCGTTATCATTTAACTGGGAAAAGTTTGTGGATGGAATGTTTTTAACCCATTCGCGCCGGGCGTCATGTATACATGACGGGCTCACTGTGAGTTTACTTGTTTAATTGTTTTCACACATAGATGGCTACACTTATACTTGTACTGCCTGTCTCGCCTGTTTACCCTTTTCTTTAAATTACGAAATTATTTTGCGGTTACTAATGTTTATAACATTATAGTAATTATAATATTTATAATAAAAATAACCATCAATATTCATAGCACTAGTAAAAATACGTTTTCCCGCCAATTCAAATAAAGGTGAAATCAGATAAGGCAGAGCCATCTAGTGTAGAGAAATTTCATTAAAAGATATTAAAAATGAGCACAGCATTTTCCCCGTTTTTTGTTCATTTTTACCCGGCACGAATGGGTTAAAGGTTGATAAGGGTTAGTTATTATTCAACTGTCTGGGAATCTTGATGCAAGTAAAATATATTACGGAACATGAAGATGAAATGAAAGGTGTTGCATGTAATCTTTTTGGACTTGTCTTATCCAAGCTTATGAAAAGGCCTGTGTATGTTTAGCAGTAATACTTAGTATGCCTGGATATCTCTGATTAGGAAAGACTTTCATGAAGCTGATGATTAGCCTTAAACTGCATTTAGTTTTCATAGTTTTCATGGTAGAGAAGGCTTTGCATGGACCTTCCTTCAAAATTGTTTTAATACTTTATTATTAGATGATCATTTCTAAAGATACTTAGACATGATAACTAGGTGAACATTGCCTGTAAACTTGGTGAAGGAAAGCAGGTAGTAGGTAATAAGTTTATATGGACACTGCTGGGATCTCCTGTACATATATGCCATGTCCATTGTGATTTTAGTTTATAAATTGTGTTTACACATATATGGCTCTTAAGTGAGTCAATTACTAGCCGTACCTATTCTCATTTATTTACCCTTTTTTCTAATTATTGTTATTATTATTGCTATAAGTATTAATAGCATCATGATAATATGTGAATAACAGTATCGATATTAATAATCTGGAAATTCATGGAAAGGGGAAATCAGGTGAGGTCACATAGGCCTACTTACTGACTCCATGGTGGCTGAGCACTTGAGTCACCTGTATGTAAGTACAGTTCACAAAACAAAACTACTATGGACATTAAGTGTTCACAGTGATAATGGGTTAACTTCTATTAAGAGACTTGTTTATGGTTGAACATAATGAAGACCCTGTGTGATAAATAAGCTTTCCCCTGCTAATGTTATTTCAGTCTGAAGTGAAGTATTTTTGACAAAATTTACGAATGAGAGGGAATTACTTCACAAGGCAAGATATGGGTCATACATTTCCTGCCTTGGGAAATAATTCATAAAAAAAAAAGAGAAAAAAAAAGATTCATGCACATTCATATTTCTTCCTTTTTCAGTATTTCAAACTCCTGTGGAAGTGACAGATCCCAATCGCAATACAGTATAAGATGTTCCAGAATACACCCTTTTGCCTTTCCCCCCCAAAAAATATGATTTGTTCATGAATGCACCTCCTTTTTCCAACACATCTGCTATTACTTCCACTCAACCCTTTAACAGTTTCTGGATAAATGAAAGGGTAGGTAGTAGGTAATAAGTTATTAATATGAGACCCTAATTTGCAGGTACTTGTATGTCAACAGCAGACCGTGGCAAGCAAACTGCGTGATTGAGAACCCCTTAAATCCTCCTCGAATTGCAGAAGGCATTGATTTGCATGTAATAGATCTCACCACATTAACACAGGTAATTGTGTTGTAGGTTCTTTTTTAATATAAGCTTGGCAGATAGGGAAGATAGGGAGTACCTGTTCTGGTGTGGTCAAGGCTTTCCATGCATTTCTTGTAATTTGGAATTGCTGTGTGGTAGGGTTAGGTTACACATAATATTCATTTATTGATAAGATTTATCATATGATACCAAAGACTAGATTTTCTGTGTAAAATGAATAGATTTGTCTCTCAATTCTGGTTATCACTTTTAAACTTTTTAATGTTATATGCATCTAGTTAACCATATGTGCTTGGCTGTTATGACCTAACTATTATGATTATTCTTACACCTATTAATATTAGGCCATTTTATAATGCATAGTATAACTTTTTAGTCGTGGAATTGTAGGTGATTTTAATATTATACTTTTCTTATACACAAACATTTTGATCACTTTCATAAACAGGTTGGAACAATGCTACGATCTCACAAAGCATACACTCCGAATGATGAGTGTTTCTTCATATTCCTAGATGTCTCTCACCTCTATGTGGCCAGGTAGGCGTGTATAACAGAATGTGTGAGTTTTTGTTACAATTTTCATTTTATAAGGTGTAATGATAGTTATGTAATGTCAAAAATTGTTTCATTTTTAGTCACAATTCTTGCATTTGACTGCTTTTATTTCTCTTTTCTTTTTGCATCTCCTAATGTTTGTTTTTTTTTGTTGTTTTTTTTTTTTATTACTTCCCAGTGGAGCAGAGGACAGACATGGCTATGTTTGGGAACGGCACTATGGAGTGTGCTTGTCGCGCCTGCCTCACAAAGACGTTGTTAACGCTGTTGCCTTTAATCCGAGAGATCCAGAAATGCTTGTAACTGTTAGTGATGACAACAAGATCAAGGTTGGTGTAGGCAAAGGATATACACACAAAGTTCTTTTCTTTTCTTTTCTTCTCTTTGTTTTAAAGACTGAAAAGTATGGTCACATGATCACCTTGAAATACCTAGGCATGTTTTTTGTTTTCGTTGTTCCTGGCGGCGGTGGCAGTGGTAATGCTCTCACAGTGAAGAAGTGTGTAGCCAACTCACGAATGTAATTTAATGATATTGAGAAGCTGATGCTACATGTGTCATATGATTTACTGCCTTTTTGCATGCTCTTATCATAGTATATTGTGTAAAATGGGAAAAGCACTTCACATGTATGTCAGTGTTGGCATATGCATAGGATGTAAGGTAAGTAGATTGTCCATCTGTAGCTGTAGTTGGTAGAATAAGAACCCACATATAAGAGGGTCTCCTGTTGACATAGGAGTCTTATGATATTCACCAGTTGCCCCTGGATTTAGAAAATTCTGCCATTTACGTGCATACTACAGAATTACAGATCCAGATGGAACACTTACAAGGCCCTCCTTGTATATGTGTGATCTTGATTTTTTTAGCCTATAATATAGGAAATTGGATCATTTTCTGTAGTAATATCACAGTTTTTGTAAGCAGCATTTTTTTTATATTAACAGTAGAGAAATATATGAAAATAACTCAAGAGAAATCTAGCAAGTTGTGCTGAACTTGCAGTATTGTTTTTTCTATTTCAGTCAGTACTTTATCTTGTCTCATTAGTGTATTTGATAGCCTGTGTTTCACTATTATATCCTACACTGCAGCTCCACATATAGTTCTGATCAACATTTTCCACAGGATCAGTTCACTCGATGTGCAGTTCATCTTACTGTAGGAGGTTTCTCATTGACTAACTTGGACATGCTTGGACTAGCTCATCTTTTACGAGCCTCTTAACCAAAGTTGATGTTGGGCATCTCATCACCTTGGCAGTGGAGCACAAGTTAATCCATGTCCTTCCACAGCATATATTAGCCTTGATTGTTAAGATAACAAGTCGGAATAAAAGTGTTTTAAGTAAGCAGCAAGATTTTCTGGAAAATGCCATTCTCACAGGCCATGAGTTATGAAGGCTGAAATATACTGCGTTGAAAGTCTAGAATTGCAGGCCCAGCATAATGGTAGCAATGCCACCCCAGCCAAACAACCAGTTTGAGGCTGTCATAGACTACAAATCATTATTGTCTTTGGAAAGATTCTGGGCAAAGAATGCTGTACGTCTAGCACTAGCCTCATAGATAGGGCACCAGTCTGGCCAGGGGGGCAATAATCCCTGACTAGATTCTGGTCCTAGAATTGTGTGTCTGCCTGTCTGTCTATCTATGTGTCTGTGATTATATATAAGTATACAAGTTTATTGCAGATGTGAACCTTATAATATCCACATGCTCACGAGTCCCACTAAAACCGATATGCACCATCAGGTTTGGAGGTCACGAAGGAGAGCAAGAGAATTGGGTGTTAAATTAGATGAAGTGCGGATGGCAAGGGAGCTTCGCATAAGTCACCCTAGACCCGAGCAGCCACCCCAACCTGCTGAGGCACCCATAAGCCCAGAAAAAGTGAGTAATCCCCACACTTGTGTTGTAATGCATTGAAGTGAGTATATATATATATATACTATATATATATATATTATATATATATATATATTAAGGCTAATGATAAATTGAGATGTTGATAGTGTATATTGTCAAATTAATAGTTCTTCATGTATTTGTGAAGCAGTTACTTTGCTTTTTAATGCAGTGTTCTGTAGCAAATGAGCTGTAATGAATTAACTTCCTTGAAACCTTTTCAGCTATACAGTAATTCCTAACCATCTCTGGTTTGGAAGAGATGTTTTCTACCGCATTGTGGCATGCTTCGTAGAAGGTGATTCGGTCCTGGCCAGCACTGCATCATAGTTGACCTGTTTCTGTCTAGATTTAGTAATAGGTGAAACCATATCTGACTGCCTGTAGGATTTAGATGCTTGGCTGATCTCCTCGAGAGATAACTACCCTCGCTAGGAAAGATACATTTATTTTTATATATATATATATATATATATATATATATATATATATATATATATATATATTATATATATATTTATAAGCTAATGATAAATTGAGATGTTGATAGTGTATATTGTCAAATTAAATAGTTCTTCATGTATTTGTGAAGCAGTTACTTTGCTTTTAAATGCAGTGTTTCTGTAGCAAGTGAGGCTGTAATGAATTAACTTCCTTGAAACCTTTTCAGCTATACAGTAATTCCTAACCATCTCTGGTTTGGAAGAGATGTTTTCTACCGCATTGTGGCATGCTTCGTAGAAGGTGATTCGGTCCTGGCCAGCACTGCATCATAGTTGACCTGTTTCTGTCTAGATTTACGTAATAGGTGAACCATATCTGACTGCCTGTAGGATTTAGATGCTTGGCTGATCTCCTCGAGAGATAACTACCCTCGCTAGGAAAGACCTTCAGACAGAAATATATATATATAGGTATACAAGAATTTAAAGCTTTATATAAAAATAGGTTGATGTAGTTAAGATAAAGAGGCAAAAAAGAATTGGCTTTTATGGCAGATTCTTAGTGAATTTTTTTTGTTATGAAAGGAATTATATGTTTTTGTGATATAAATATACTCTATTATGTTACTGCAATGATGAGTTTTTATGTAAATAAGCTTGTTATCAATTTCTTCTCTTTTTAATCCTTCAAATATATTCAGAGTGAATGTAAATTTTGTATTAATTATTAGGTGTGCTGTGATATTCTATTCAACTCTTATGGCTATGCAGTCCGAAATTTTGATATCCATTTCATACGGCTGTAAACAGTAAGAGCGCATTGTAAATAATTTCATATTTTTTTAATGTTATTATTGGCAGTCCAGCTACCATGGGAAGACACCGTGAAACTTCTCAGCAAACCATGTCGATGAAGTCAAACAAACTAAGGAAATAAATGGTCTTCTTCCTTTGTTTCTTTTTCTTTTTATTACTTTCTAATCCTATCCAGTGTTTAAGAACAAAGGAATAAAGATATAGATGTAAGGTGAATACTTTTTTTTTCTGACTGGAAAAAATTGAGACCGTCAAGGAATTATTGTTTAAAAAGAATTCTTTCCTGTACATATCAATGGTAACAATATTACATTTTTGGTGTTAACCAATGGAGACGATCCATAAAGTCTCAGGAATTAGTTTATATGTGAAGCTTTATGCATTTTTATCAGCTTTTTGTTAGGAAATGTAAGTATGCAACAAGAATTTACAGGCAATGAATGCAACATTTTATGAAGTTTTGTGTAAATATAGGATATATATTTCTTTCTGGTTTGAGGTGTGTAAATTCTTACTAGACTTTTTCTTTACGGGTAATATGTTTGACAATGTTAAGATACTCTCACTTTGTAAAAATCTTTTAGTCTGGAAAATGTTACCTCTTGTAGGTTTAATAGTATTTAGTCATTCAAGGTTAAGCCTTCAGAAAGATTGACAGATCTTTAGCTTATTTTTTGTGTTTACTTTTAATATTTATTTTTGTATTTATTTTCTCTTTTCTGTGTAAGGTTTAAATTTTTATCAACAGAGTTCCCCTCCCTTCTTCTTCTCATATTTATATACTTTTTCCATCTTTGTTACACGTCTCACATGTTTTTCTAATATCTTCTCTTCCTTTATTCCCCTCTTTCCATATTCAATCCTTCTTTCTTTTCTTTCTCTACTTTGTTCCTTTATTTCGTCTTCTCTTTTACCGTGTTTACTGTTTTTTGAATAATGGGCTTAGGCTATTTATTTCATGGTGCATTTTGAAGATAGTTTGCTATGTTTCATTAATATTACAGGATTTCTAGATTTTCCTAATATTAGATTTATTAAAGAACCTTGAAGGATTCTCTTTTTTCCAATAACACAAAATTTAATTTAAAGATTTTATTAATAGAGCTCACCTGAAAAAATTACCATTCTTTGCTGTAAACTTTAAGAAAGAAAAAGTGCTTTTTTCTTTTCTTTTCTTTGGTATAAGGGAAGGTAAACAATGACAACTTACAGCAATGCAACTCAATTTAATTCATCGTAAGATTTTGATCTTCTGCCGTTGATTACAGGAAAGGTCTGAATGCGATAAACAATACAGGTAAACTGGGGGGGAGGGGGGGAAGGAGGGGAGGGGAGAAGTACATGGAAAGATTTCAGAACTACTTATTGCCAACTAGACAATTACATCTAGCATTTCTTCCAGCTTTCAATAAAGATTTGAAAGAAAAAGAAAATATAATGATGTCATCAAAAATGTGTTTATCGGTACTATAAAGTAAATACATAATATATATACTGAAGCTTATCTTCTACAGTATTGTGTTTAAGATTAAAAATCAAATAAATTATAAGTGTAATTAACTACAGTCTAAGGTAACTAATATAACTTTCTCTTCCAAAGAACACAAAATCAGTTTTAAGCAAGCACAATTGGCCATGAAACGCACACACATACAATGGAAGGCAATCTAGTAAAAGTGGTAGTTGATATGCATGTGATGTATCCTAGTTGATACCAGTTAAATAATAAAAAGTTACTAAGCTACTAGGGAATGCAGTTTACATAAGCAACAGTGTGTGTATATACAGAAGCATCTTGATCATCTAGGAATTAACTAATCGGAGGGCGCGGAAAAAATTGTCCTCTTATTGTCTGAGAAAAATGACTCTCTCTTGTGTGATTTATGAAGGCCTGAAAATATGAAAAGTAAAATTCAAAGCCTAATAGAAAAGTCAAGGTCAAAGTCAGAATACATTATGATTTTTTTTTTATTATTATTATTATTTTCTTTTTATTATCCCCATCATAAAATTACTTTTACTAGATGCTCTACATTTTCCAGGAAATAACTTGTGTTACAATCATGGGTTAAACTAATATTCAATAACAAGGTCAACTATTATGGCATTTACAATATACACAATCATTCAATGCTATTTTTTTTTTTTTCCTTTTTTTTTTTTTTTTTTTTTTTTTTTTTTATAGAGCAGGCCTAATCACGAACGCTAGTTTGCCCAAGTCCAACCTAGATAATCAAAATACTCCTTGAGACAAAAAGGGAAAAAAAAAGTAAGCATGAATACTGTTCAAGAAGTGGAGGAATCACAAAGGCTTAAATTTCAAGACAAAAATCAAGCTACAACTGAATGCCAAGAGATATATTCAAGGTATAAATTGTGCATATAAAACTGACTACAGGTTTTTTCTCTAAATGTTTCAATACTACCATATCAATTTTTTTTTTTATCAGATATTTACCTTAAAACTCTCCTCTAGGAAAGATGCTCATGCAAATCCCAGTCTCACATCATGGGTGATGAATGTGCTCGTCAAACGTATTAGGTAAATTAACAGCAAGTGGATTTGGTGTCCCTTACCAGACACTAACCCTTCAGCAATTTCATTCCAAACAGGCTATTCTTCACTTTTTCTCTCTCTTCCCTCTGTCACAGCTACATTCTCAACCAGCTTTACAGCAGTATCACAACTGGAATCAACATTTTACTGCATGAGAGCCTCTTTCCATAGCATCAGTTGTGCTTTCCTTTTACTCAAGTTTCAAAGTAGACAAGTTCATCGTTAGGAAACAGTTTGATTTTCCTTTTATTTATTTATTTATTTCAATTTTGTTTTCTTTTATCATGAAGGGGGAAAAAAAATTGAACTTTTAATTTTGATATATGCTTTTACATACTAAAGAAAGAGCTGATATGTACATAAACTCTGCAATAAAAGTGTGAGGGCAAAGGAGAACTATTCCTTCCAGTATTTATTGAAGCCTTTTGTTCAAGAAATAAAAATATCAGCGAGGTATAGTTTTGCATCTAAAGAATTAACATGTTTCATCTGGAACTGCTGTCCTTACATCCACAAAAGTATCTTGAATGAGACGAAGAAGAAGAAAAAAATCTGAAATGATCACCAACGGAAATACTATAATTTAAAAGGTAATGTAGTAATACATCAGACAATCCAAGACAGCAAACAACTACAATGGGGCTCATTGCTAACATGGAAACATGAATCACATAATATACAACGAATGCATCTTTGGAATTTCTTTTCTACCGCTGCTCCCTGGAATATGTACAGTGCCACAAGACAGCCATCCAGTAACATTTTATGCTTCGTGAAATCTTCCTATCAAAAATATCCTTTGCTATAACACCATCTCCTCATCTCCACATACTAAAAACAAGTCCTATAATACTGCAACTGACAGCATTATTTTGACAATCAGATAAGGAAATCTCTGCCATTTTATACCTATTAGTATATCCATTTACACATTCTCTCCACACAAATTTAAACAGTATAGCATATTTTCTGATCCACAGGCCATACACTTTTTACATTTTAATCTGTATTTCCTTGCATTTTTGCTTTGTTCTCTTTTATTTCTTTTGGCATAGGACCACAAGCACCAAAAATCAGCATGATAATAATGTACACCAAAGAGTGATAATACAGGATCCACACACTATTCATAAACAATCCTTTAAAATCCGAGGGAAGACGAGTCAACAAATAAGCTTTTGCATAGAATTTGTCCTTTGGCCGAGATTCAGCCGAAGGAACAAATTAAATGTATATTACGGATGAATGGTGGATTTGGTGCTTAAGATAAGGAAACACATTTAAAACTGCAAGTCGTTTAAATAATGCAGGAATACTCCTTCTTTCCACATCAAGGAGTAGAGTACTCCACATACTTGATGCCCCCAGAAAACACTCACAGGGTTTCGTATATGCACTTTTCACTTCTCAGCCGATCCTGCAATGTGAAAAAATAATGCCTCAAAGGTTAATCACAGTGTTACTATAACATACTGTTCTGATACAGTACAATATAATAATTAAGAAAGCATACATTCTTAACCCAATGAGCGCAGGCTTTTTCAGTGGTCTGCCAAATATCCGTATCGGCTGCATCTATAGGGATGCCACCCATGGCATCGGCGCTCACCACCATGGCATCAAAGTAGATGCCACCCACAAACAAGGGGTTAAAGTATGCTATATAAATCAGTGTTTAATAAAAAAGAAAAAAGATTTTTTAATCTTAAATCATTAAGGAATATATTCCTTAAAACTTTAAATTTCCTTGATACTGAAGAAATGTTAAAACTCAAAATATTAATTATAAACATTAATTTCAAGACTACCAACCAAAAGTGGATAAGCTTTCTACTCCATCAGACTTACCTATTATGAAAAAATGTTCTGATGTATACAAGGACATTTATAATATGTAGGTGTGGCATGATTTCTGTATTAGGTCCACCACTCTAATAAAGTTTATGCATTCTTGGTTTTAAAAGAGACAGACAGACTATCTATGTATATGTCAGTAGCATGTTGCTGGTTGTTTGCAATTTGTTGTTTGAAAAATATTTCCGATCAAATTTCTGTGGTTTGGGCAGCAAGTGAGAGCCAGTATACCCCTTTCATACATCTTTTATGAACGTTTGTGTTTTTTTTTTAAACCATTCCTCAAAACCATCTTTATTCAACAAGAGAACTGTGTCACAATATCACATCAAAACTGGGAAGAAAGGAAAAAAAGTGTGTGTGGTGAGAGGAAAATTAAAAAGAAAAAGCAAGAGGGAAGAGGAACAGGAGGAAGGACACATAGAAAAGGAGGGAGGGAAGGAAGAGGAAGAGTATAAAGAAAATAAAGAGAAAAAGGACACTACTCTGTGAACTGGTACACATAAAAGTTTGAGAGATGGTAAATATGTCCATGAAAAGTGTGGAAAGGAGCTTGGAAGTAAAGGAAGTGAGAAGGCAAGAGACAGATCAAGATTACGAGAGAGACCACACATACAAGGGCCTTCTCTCATCTTTACACCTGCAATTTTATCTTTCTTTATTTATTTTCCCCCAAATGTCATCCGGCTCACATACCATTATTTGACTGAGTCTCACCACCCGGCTGGTGACTGTTCTTCTTCTCCACGTGGCCTGAACAGTGCTCACACTCATCGTCTGTGTCAGAACTGCTCACGTCAAATTCGTGGGGCTTCACATAAACACAGCAACCTGCATGGCATGTACAAGGGTTACGGAGTATTCTACACACTCAATGGGGGTTGATGATATACAAGAATGTCAACTTGCTTCCAACTATTCTTATTTCATACAAGGGCTACATTTCTTTTCTCTCTTTTTTTTCTTTTTTTTCATGCAGGATCTATTTCAAAAACTTGAAAGCTCATATCCAAAGGGAACTGCAATGTTAGCTATATATCAATCAGTTCACCTGTAAAGAAAAACTTAAAAATTGCTAGGAAGAACGGAAAATGTTAATGTCAAAGATGTTAATATACTTGAAAATAAATATACACAAAAATTACTAATATAATATGGGTAACAAAGAGAGGTAATGGCGACAGATACCAATAGCAAGACGATACATGCTACTGATCTTGCAAAATAAAAAGAAATTTTTATAAAAAATAACATATGTATATTTAATAACAATAAACCACCAAAAATCTTTCCCATGACAAGTTCATCCTGAAGAGTCCAAGCAAATTATTTTCATCGGATATCCAACAACTAGTCAGAATTAAAATAAATCTCCATCGTTCATTATTTAATTTTTACAATCCTTACCCAATGCTAGTCACATAAAACCCTACTATAATAACAGAGTAGCTATTAAATATCAATTATGGAATGCATAAAGATGAATTTTGTGGCATCTACCCTCACACAGTTTGAAGGTAACCTATGGAAAAAGTAATTCATCGTTATAAAACTTCCCACAGCATTCCTCAAGAGATACTCCACCAAAATCAGTCCAACAATTCCTCAGCACAAATCTACACTTAAGAGGTTATATCGAAAATGAATTCCGATTTCCCTCCAAATTCCTTTCCAGAAGCCATTCATACTTTTCGAGGACCTAAGATATAGGTGTTTCTAGAAGGAAGTCCATTGGGCATTTCCATCATATTGAACACAAACTGGATAGAAGCCAAACTGAATTAAGAAAAAATATGATAAAGATCTTGTAATAGGTAACAAGCATTTCAAACCGTTAGGCGTTTTTCCCTCGCTATAACAAATTTGAATACAGAAGTATTTGTAACTGTGATAAAACAAAAAAGTTATTTCCAGTTACAACACTGATTAAAAAAAAAATTGTAATATATATGTGATTTTTCAGTGGATTGCTAATAACCGCAAGAAAATTTACTCCTACGAAAGATACCTACAAATGGAAGTGACAATGAGAAAATTAATCCGTGAAAAAGGAAAAGAGAAAGTTTGAGGAGAAAGAAGAGAAGTAAAAAACAAGAAGAGAAAAGGAAGGCAAAAGAGGAAAGCAAGGCAAAAGGAGGAAAAAAAGAATAAGAAAAATAAAAGGAAATGAGAAGAAAAATGGATAAGAAAAAGAAATGTTGATAAATAACATCAAAGTAAAAATAAATAAATAAATAAATAATAAGCAAATATGATTAAAAAACTGAAATAGAAAATTGGCAGAAAAAAAAAGATATGAAAAGAATGAAAAAAAAAATCAGAAAAGAAAAGAAACAGAAAAAGACAACCAGAGAAGAAACAGAAAAAGACAACCAGAAATGAAACAGAAGAGGACAACCAGTAAAGAAAGAGAAAGAAAAGAGTAATGCCAAATTCAGGCAAGTGAACTTCAAGCCACACGCAAGTCCCGATGCATTAGAGACAACTCTTTTTACTCTCCATCTCCGACAAATCCAGTTTTTCCCATAAATTTCTTATGCAAGTTATCCGACGGCTTTTGACAAGTCTCTGGGCCCCAGTCAGACCTACATCCTGCCTCTAAGATGATAACGGTGATGAAAGGCCTTTTATAGATATTTTCTTAGTCGTCATAACTTCATTAATACATACAAAGTAGAGGGAGGGAGGGAGGGAGGGAAGGAGAGAGAGAGAGAGAGAGAGAGAGAGAGAGAGAGAGAGAGAGAGAGAGAGAGAGAGAGAGAGAGAGAGAGAGAGAGAGAGAGAGAGACAGACAGACTGAGAGAAACAGAGAGACAGAGACAGAGAGAGAGAGAGACAGAGACAGAGAGAGAGAAGAGAGAGGACGAGAGAGAGAGAGAGGGAAGAGAGAGAGAGAGAGTAGAGAGAGAGAGAGAGAGAGAGAGAGAGAGAGAGAGAGAGAGAGAGAGATGAGAGAGAGAGAGAGAGAGTGAGAGAGAGAGAGTTTGTGAGTCAAGAGGAGTGGGAGAGGGAGAGGGAGAGGGAGAGGGAGAGGAAGAGGAAGAGGGAGAAGGAGAAGAAGGAGAAGAAAGAGAAGGAGAAGGAGAAAGAGAAGGAGGAGGTGGAGGGGGAAGGAGAGGAGAGGCAGAGGAGAGAGGGGGAGACAGAAGGTATGGGGGGAGAGAGAGGGTATGGGGGAGAGGGAGAGGGAGGGTAGCACGAGAAGAAGAAGAAGCTGGAGAAGAAGGAAAAAAAAAGAAGAAGAAGAAGAAGAAGAAGAAGAAGAAGAAGGTGGAGGAGGAGGAGGAGGAGAAGAAGAAGGGAAAAAAATAATAAAAATGAGGAGGAGGAGGAGGAGAAGCAGAAGGAAAAGAAGAAAAAGGAAAAATAAGGAGAAAAAGAAGTGAAAAATGAAGCAGGGGATGGAATAGGAAGAGAGCGCTTACACAAAGAACTCAACTGTCATATACTGCTAAAAACAAGTAAGCCTTCAATAACCAATAATTGAGAATATATAAATAAAATATGTCCCGATTTCTCCTTCATTTCTGTTCAAGAGAAGGGATTATTCTCCTATCCAGTCTGTCTAGATGATGATAACAATCTATCTATCCAAATCAATCTATCTATCTATCCAATCTATCTATCAAAATCAATCTATCTAGCTATCCAGTCTATCCAATCTGTCTAGATGCGAACAGAACATATTACACAATCCGCAAAAACATATTTAAAAAAAAAAAAAAAAAAACTGAAACCGTCATTGAAAAACGTTAAATCCTTACAATACTTTAACTCTTCATAAAGCTTTTCGTAAACATAATAAAGGTGATTTTCCCGAGCCTTTTCCCAAACGTAAAACTTACATTTCGACTTCTTCTTCCCCATGTTTTCATTGTCAATTGTGTCGTTCGTCCAGCTGACCTTCTTCTTCCTGGGCTTGTGCAGTTTCAGCCGCACGACACCACTCGATACCTGCAACATTAGGGCATACTGTTAATGCAAATGAGCATTCTAAG